AGAGGGCAGCATATTATTTTTCAGATGTTTCAAATTAGTTTAAAGGGGTTGATGCTGATGTAGTCTTTGAGATTTCTTTAGATTCCGATTATCTACTCCCCCTTTCTTTTAAACCTGTTTGCTATTTTGAGAAACTGGAAAGAGGCCTCACAAAGCAAACTTACTCATTCCTCTTGTGTGCTGAAATTCCAGAACAGTTAGTGAAATTATAGCAGATGTAAAATAACTGGAATGTATTTTCTAACCAGGCATCTCCTGGGCTCAAGTTTTAGCCTGCCTTTCCCATCACTTTTTATGGAGAAAACATTTTTATCTGACAGGCTAGTCTGACTTGGCTTTCTGTGGTACAAGTGACATTTTAAATCTAATTTCAACTCTGTGTTTTATGATACTATTTTGCTAAACGAGATTAGAAAATTAATAAAATTAACTCTTCAGTGTGTAAGAGTAATATACGTGTTTAGATAAAAGCGGCAATAGCATTGTTACAAACCAAATCCACTTTCTAAAAACAGAGGAGACTCAGAATAAAGTTATTCATGCACAAATTAGCTCTTGTTAGATAGCTTGTTTGTATAGATTATCACATCACTCAGGAATTTTTCCTCTAGTCCTTACTGTTGAATTTTGCCATGCAATCTCAAAATGTTTTGGTTGCTGAAAATTCCAAGGGGATTACAGTATAATTCATGTATTAATTATAAGTTTGCCTTTAATACCATACCTGAACACTTTGGAGGGATGGCAGATATATTATCTTAAGTAATTTTAAGAAATTCAGTTTATCAACTCTGAAAATATTCAGTCACTTAGATTTTCAACATAGAAGGAACTTTATCCACAAAAAAATAAAAGGGGAAAACCACAGAAGGATACGAACAATGCTGAAACAGTTTCTCCTATTCGTTCAGTCAAACTGTATCTATACCAAGCTGTATAAGCATATCTCCAGTATTTTCTGAAACTGGAAAAAAAAGGCTTTGCCCAAATTGTTTGGCAGTTTGTTCCACTTACCAAACAGAAATATTATTACATTGTATTTCAGAATAGAAATGTTTAACTGAAACAAGATTGTTAATACGTTTTATCCAGTGACCACCTAACACAAGCTATAAACAAAATCCTTTGAATAGGGCTGAAACCCAATATCCCCCATTTTCAGACAAGTACCTGGGGTACACCAAGCTAGAGTCTTTCACCCTCTCTCTCTGACCTAATTAATCTTTAATTCTTTTCTATTGGAGTAAGAGCAGTTCTACCCAAGAACAGCCTTTAGCCTGGCAGTTAAGACACTCTCTGGGAGATAAGAAATGTGGATCTGAATTCTTTCAGCCAGGGGTAGGACTTAAACCCAGGTCTCTTACATCACAGGCAAGTGCTCTAACCACTATTAGATCAAGGGAGGCTACCATAACCACATCCTCCTGCCCTTCTCTCCCCAATTTTCCTACATACTTAAAGAAATGGACTGGGTCAGATCCAAGGGGTGTATGGTGGTATTGGCAATTCACCATCAGGAGTTCCAGTCTTGGCTGTTGGATGCACATGCATCACCACCCCTCCCTCCCCACACCTCTTTCATCATCCTGGATCTGCTACTAGACAAGAGTGATCCATGCTTAAAAGAAGAAAGGCTTCTGCCCCTCCCTGCAGGAGAAGGATCTGGGCTGTGAATGCCAAGCAAACACCTCCTGGTAATGGCAAGTAAGACACTTAACCCTAAAGAAGGTGGCATTTAGCACACAACTCTCTACTCAGCACTTACTTACGGGCTAGCTAAGGCAGTTCCATGTCCAGAATGCTGTTTTCTCTGGACCCCATTCTAATTTCTCCTCATGTATTACAAAGGAAGCAAGGCACCCAGCTCACTGCTCTGGATTCTATGTGGGAACTTAAGCCCATTTTAGGATCTCTCTGTCTCAGTTCTTGTCCCCCTACCAACTGATAAACGTTGAAATTAATTTATAGGAGCAGAGAAAGTTAAGACTGAAGTGCTTTCATGGTGCCCATTATAGTAATATTGAAATATAAGAGATAAATAAACATATTTTCTGAATGCCAAGTGGAGGAAAACACTTTCAAATGTGAACCACTGCAGTGCTTCCTTAACAGAGCTACAGGTGTTGTTTCAAATGGACATAACTAAGAACATTTTATGTTGACATTAACAACTATCAACAGCAAGCAGCCAAAGGCCTACAAGAAGCATCAGTTATCTTACTTATCTCAATCTACTGATATATTATTTTCCAAGGACAACTCAGATATCAACATTAACAGTATCTGACTATTAACTCTTTTAGCAAAGCCATCCAGTCTAAAATTATGGGACAATGATACTGTAATTTAAACCAATGATTTAAACCCTATTTTTTTAAACATTAACCATCATAAAAATGCACTACACAATTTTAAATTTTAAGCCAGAGATGGTTAAAACAGTTCTCTTTTAGAAAACAAATAAATGTTAGAAAAAAAAATACCTTCTTTCCCTTTATGATTCACATTCTTTAATCTTCTTGCACAATGAGGAAATGCAAACATTATTGGCAGCTGACACAGCAGTACGAAACACATAAGCATAGTTGGGTATCTGTTGGATGGAAAGAGTTAATAATAGTTAGAAACTCTGAAGTGTTAGTGGTATAGTTTAAATTATTCCATAATGCAGTTATCTGACAAGTCCCCACAAGCAACTTGGATTAGCTTTTCCCT